GTTGCAGTGTACTGAATTCGATTCCAAAGGGACTCCTTATGGAATGGGCCAAGTGTCACAGGTTCAGAAAGGAAAGAGGAAGATAAGCTATGCTGAATCTTCTATCTCATCGCTGTTAGAGATCCAGGACGAGCTTCAATCAGCTCGTCAAAAGATTGCTCAAAATGAAGCAGAAAATCAGCGTCGTGATGAGGAGAATCGACGTCGTGACGAGAAAAATTAGCGACGTGATGAGGAGCTAAGGCAAAGTCAGGCTCGGATTACTGAATTAGAGAAGCTGTTTCTGTTTATGAAGAACAACAATCCCAACTTCGCTGCTTACATGTCTGACTCCTCTACCTTGGATGCTTCTGCCACAGCCACACCTCAAGCTCCTCAAGCTGAAGACAACACTTGAAAGTTTACTTCTCAAACTTTCTAACTCTGTCTTTTTAAAAAAACTTATTATGTTATAATCTTTTGTACTCTCCTAACTTAATAACTTCTTCTCTAGTCTTTTTTAAAAATTTATGTTGTTATGCTTTCAAACTGATGTTATTATGCTAATCTTTTATAGTTTTAAGATTTTAAGTTCTTCTTTTGATTTAGATTTCTCAAATCAAAACACAAATCTGTGTTTTTTAAGTGACAAAAAAATGACCAAATTAGCAACTGAATTTGCCTATAAAGAGACAAAAAAAAAATCAAAGGAGTCGTAAATTAGTGTCTACCAAGTGACACTTTAGTGACTATTTTGTGACTAGACATGATATTTCGAAGAGTCTCTAATACGTCGCTCTCTCTAATACGTCGCTCATTTAGGACTACATTATTCATCACAAATTAGACACAAGTTAATGACTTTCCAACTTGTCGCTATTTAGTCGCTATTTTCCCACCAGCTTACGTAGTCACAAATAGTCGCTAATTTGCGACAACATAGATATTGTCACAATGGAAGTGAAAGCACCTAGAGCTATAATGGAGAAGCCTAAGGAGTACAAAAATTCAACCATTCTTATCCTATGAAGTTTGTTGAGAACACTATT